ATAGTTTAAAAATATAACTTTTTTTTAAAGAAAATGTGGGTGGACCGACTTGGGCTGGGTTTTAAAGGATTTTTTTGGACAGACTATTAGGTCGGGCTTTGGGCCAATTATCGGGCTTATTTTTTTGGGCCAAATAATGGGATTTGTGAGTAACCCAACCCATAAACACCCCTAAGTCCAATAGTAGAGTGGTTTTATGCTTAAATTTTTAATCACACTTTTCTTAAAACTTGCTTAAAACTTAATGAAACAAGAGTCGTGGGTACTTAAAGAACAATGTATGCTTAAAACTTGCTTTTCTATGATGTTAGCATTGATTTTTTTTTTTTCCATATAACTTAGCGGGTAGTTAAGGACAATATTCTCGCTTTCGCTGCATTTTCATTTAAGCATGTATAAACTCATTTCATAAAGGGAAGTAATCTAATGCAATAAATTCCAAGCAGTGGTCTCAAAAAATTGTTCTTATCTATACATTGAGATTGTCTGAAATATATGAATTTTAACCATGTTGGCCTTCCTCAATGCCTTCTGTTGGAAAAAATGGAATTCGAGACATGAAAGTGTATAATTGTGTATAATTGGGTAAGACACCGACTAGACCGCTCTCTTAAGACGATTCGCGCCTCTTTGTGAAAGAAACATAACACATAAGGTAACAATACATCGTCCTCAGGATACAACAGCTCAACCTATTTACTGTTGTTTCCCTCAGATTTGCACAATCAAATGAAACAGAAGCTGCACACAACACTTTTAATTTTGTCCAAAAACTTGTACAGTAGAAAAGAATATAATAGATATTCCGATTGTATATTTTTATACTAATCTATGTAAATATATATACATAAAATATAGATGTTTAATATTTCATAATTATTCTCATGTCTAATCAAATAATAACTATGAAAATTAAATAAAAAATAGTTGTTGGGAAACTAGCCATTAGATCCTTTGATATTCAGAAATTGAATTTTTAATATAGGAGTTATGATGAAAAATAATTAAATAAAATATTAAAAAGTAGATTTAATTAAAATACTCACTCGAGCGTGGACTAAGCTGGTCAGTGTTTTTCAAAAATAATAGAAACTTGTATCTCCTCCATTTGTCCCACTTTTTCACTCGTGTGCACGTGAGAGTCTCAAAGTCTTACTTTAACTCAAATGTTTGATAACATTAACATATATACTCAAATACTTTTAAAAATGTAGTCGATATTAAAATACTCTAATACCTTCGCTACACAGAATAGAGACGTGGCACTCATTATAGGGCAGCTTAGAGTACCTCATGTCTCTCACGTCACTACCTAGCCACCATTCCCTCAACCCATCAAAGTAAACCGCTAGTACCTCCTAACTCCACCAACATTCATGTACCTTTCTCCAAATTTTAATTTGATTAACATTGGGTAAATTGAGTATGGGTTTTGTGAATGAGATGATATTTCCCTTTTTTCTTCTATACTTTTTGAACTTTTTATTTGGGTTTCCAGTTATGTTTTGGGTTTTCTTTTTTCTCCTATGATCAATTCATTGGACTTTGATCAAATCATACATCAAAAAAGATTGAATTACTTAGATTGTTTGTGTACATGAATATATGTGTTTGTGGCTATGCTTGATTTATAAAATTTGATCATCAATTAAGTTTCCTTTAATTTTGTAATCTCTAGAAGAGTTTATTTGTTTTCTTGATTGAATTTCTAGCTACTTGTGGATTCAAAAAAAAATATCTTGGGGATGTGTGTACATATGTTTTTGTTAGTCATGGCTGTGGTTTGTGCTACAATGATTTTTTTTTTTTTCTGATTCAACAATCAAGGGTGTCTAAACCAACTTACGTGCACGTCAACTAATTTCTTCCCTAATCTGCTAAAAAGTAGATCATCCACACCGATACTGTAATTTTCATGAGGGATAAATTCTTCATAGTCTGGCCCCAAAAACTTGCCACGATTTAAACTCAAGACATGTAGATTTATAACTCGTTTTTATTACTGTTTGAGCTACTCTTGAGATTTCCTATAATTAATTAAAGAAATAAGTTTTGTTTGCTTGAACATAATCTTGGACATGTGCTATAGCTCTTAGTGATTGTTACTTGGCAACGGTGAGCAACTCAATGTGTAATTGAATTAGTGAGTATGAGAACCAGAATGTTTTCTTTTGCATTGAACTTGAATGAATATGTACATGTAGGAATGAGGTATTGTTGCCATGAAAAATTAATGCATATCGACCATATTACTGGTATTTTAATATATTCAATACATTGATGTAAAGACGAGCATGAATTTACTACGAGCTATTCACATTAGGCCTTTCTATCACAAAATTGTGAGTTTTGTCATTTTTTGAATCTTTGGATCCTTGATTTCCTTATGAGAGAAACACTTTAGTTTTAAATGATTGAGAGAAATGGGTAGTGGTTATGTTGCTATATTCCTTTAGTAACTAGCTTATAATGTAGGTGTCAACATCTTTTCTAAACATTCTAGTTCTACCATCTTTTCTAAACAGCTGAATCAACCATTCTTATAAGGTTTCTTAAGTTGAATTATTTTTTTCTAATGCTTAATTTAGGAAGCAAATGAAAATAATATTTCTTCCTTAAGAAAAACACTTCCAATCATTGAAGCATACCGATTAAAAAATAATAATTCAAAATATTTTGTTATTGGAATAAAACTGTGGTTCTCACGGATAATCATTTTTTACCTTGTAATTTTGATTTTTCATGTTCTTGAGAAACTCGTAAATTACTATCATCTACACGTAAAAATATTGAATATAATGGTAATATCATTATTATATGGTATCATTATTCAATTAAAAATTACAAATAATCAAGTGACCACCACCTCTATATAATAACGACTACATCATGTTTAGAAGTGATAAAGCGTATGCATTTTGGAATTAAGATGATGATGCTGGTGGGCTTTGATCAGAACTGTGTGGGCCATTTTTAGTTGGGCTTCAAGAGATCTGGTGAGAATAGAGCTTCGGACTGAAGATCTGAAGGTCTTGTGTCTAATTTCCACTAAAAAATGGATAATTTGAAATTCAGTACAAAAATTTAGAATTATTTGAATTAAATTATATTAAAAAAACTTATTAGCTCTAAATGCATTTTTTTAAAAAAAAAAAAAGACTAAAAGTCTATTTATTACTCTATTATTCTCTCTCAGTCTCTCCATTACTCTCCCACTTTCTCTTCCCTGTCTCTTTCTCTCACATTAATAATTTATTTTTTTTAAATATGTAAAGAATTGATTTAATTTTTTTTTGCTCTCCTATTTTTTTTTTCTCTCTCTCACTCCCTGTCACCTTATTTCCTTATTCTCTCTTTCCTTATATTAGGGTTACAACAATACAATTACACTAATCAGTTACCTTATAATACACCAAACAGTTACATTAAATAATTACACGAAATTACAACATCAACCTAATTTGTCATTCAGTTATTTACATAAATTTAAGAATTACACCATTTAGTATCACGACATGGTTACATCAATTATATACAACAAATTAGATTTATCATTACACAAAAAATTTTACCATTATATTAAATTTGGTATATATAATTTGGTGTAACGATATTACGATACTAAATGGTGCAATTATTTAGTTTATGTAAACAATTAAATGATAATTGAGCTGATGACATAATTTTGTTTAAATGTTTGGCTTATTAGAACGCATAAGTAACTGTTTAGTGTATTATAGGACAATTGTAACTAATTAATATAATTGTGTTGTTGTAATGTTAATATAAATAGAGATAGAAAGTAAGGAAAGAGAGAAAGAAAAAACAGTTAGACAAAATAGGGGGAGAGAGAGAGAGAAATAAAATAGAGGAGATAGACAAAAAAATAAATCAATTCTTTATATATTTGAAAAGAAAATAGATTATCAATGATAAATAGAGAAAGAAAATAGGGAAGAGATGGAGAAAGTAACGGAGAAAAGAGATGAAGAGAAAATAAGGGAGAGATCTAATGAAATCTTTACATATTTCATTAGATATATAATTTTCAATCAATAATGCATAATTTAAGGAAGGTTATTTAGGTAAAAAAAAATTGATTTCATTTGAATTTTGTACCTAAACACAATATGTTTTATTAAAATTAAATTTAATAGAGTAAACAATTTATTCATACTCTTTTCCTTGAATAAGTTTAAAAATTTGTACCCCACCCAAAAAAACCCTAAAATTAATAATAAGGACCTTCAGTTGGGCTCAAAGACTTATTCTAGTCTAGAGCAAATGTGCAGGATGTACAGAAAGCGTGCGGATCAGTCACTGCCATGACATATATTTAGGTGAAACACACAAACACACCTGTATCACAAATAGGCTTATCATAGATCAGGTTCAGATATATTCATATCTAAATCTGATTTAACATGTTTTGACAGATTTCAGATGGAATAATTGAATTTTTTTATTTAGACCCATATCTAATTAAATGGATTCTGACTCAAATCCAAGCCATTGATGGACGGGCCAAATGACAAACCTGAATGAATGGTTCATGAATTGAAACTCAAACCTCAAAAATTCTTTTTTTCTTGCGAATTTGAGTTCTAATTATAGTCATGACAAGGTGTGAGACAGGAGGGTTTTATGTACCGTGCCTAGTTTATGAAAACAGGGAAGTGGGAACTTTGTCCCCGATTTTAAAATCTGTCATAACAATTGACCCCCTTCATCTAAATTTATTGTCATCGACAAACTTTTCAGGAACTTCTAATGATTTTTTTTTTTTTTTTATACTAAGGGTGTGTAGTTCAATTTAAGTGTACACCTATTAATTCGTTGACAGTAGTCATGAGTTGCCACTGACGTCTGTGTTTGCTACTTTGCTAGTCCAGGCCCGCCTCTTTCTCTCTCACATGGTGCCGTTTTCCTTCTAATTATAGAGGAAGGTACTGTGGGCTGCCGATGCTAAATGTATATGTGACAGCAAGCAAGCAAAGGACATGGCGGTCAAGTACAGTTACTTAGCTTCTTCTTCTTCATCCTCTTTTCCCCTAATTCACACTTACCATCCAAGCTCTCATTACTTTTCGATGCCTCCTCAACTCTCTGGAATTGTTCATCCCAGAATCCCAAAACCTGTCTATCTCTCTGCCTCTTCTTCTACTCCAACTCCAAACACTTCAACTTCTCTCTCTTCATCGCCAATTTTCCTCCCTTTTCTCGAGGAAGAGGAAAATGAAGAGGCCCCAGAAACCGAAACCCCTCAGACCCAGCAAAAACAAGAAGAAGAAAAAGAGTCCTTTGAGTCAATCAAGGACCCAATTCTCAGATTCTTCAAGTCTCGTTCTTTTACTTCAGACCCAAACCCCAGTCGTGAAGGTAAATTCTCTCTCCAAAAGAACCGCAAAACTTCCTGGCGCCTCGCTCCCGGCATCGAAAATGTAAATTCAATTGAAGAAGAAAGTGAGCCCAACGCAAAAAAAGAGCTGAAATACCAACAACCAGAAGTGGGTTCTGTCGACGTTCCTTCAAGCGTAGTTATTGGCGGTGTTGTTGGTGAAATTCTGAACCTTGCGAGGAATTTACCCGAGAATTCGACAATGGGGGAGGTTTTAGAGGGTTATGTGGGGAGGGTAGGGGAGAGAGAGTGTGTGGAGGTGTTGCAGTTGATGGGTCAGGAGGGTTTTATAAGGGGTTGTTTGTATTTTTTTGAATGGATGAGGTTGCATGAACCTTCATTGGTTACCCCTCGGGCTTGTTCAGTTTTGTTTCCATTCTTGGGGAGGGCTGGCATGGGTGTTGAGTTGATGGTTTTGTTCAGGAACTTGCCGGAGGGGAAGCAATTCAGGGACGTGCATGTCTATAATGCCGCGATTTCGGGTCTTTTGTGTGGTGGAAGGTATGAATTTTTAGGAACAACTTGGATCTAGTTTGCTTGCTTGTTATGGTGTGTTGCTATTGGTTAATGGGTTTGTTTGAAATTCTTCTTCAATTTAGGTCTGTCTGTTTTCTGTTTCATTGTCCAAAAGATTTGTGTGGAACTATGAATAGGAAAATGTTTGGATTAAGTCAATTAGTAAATCTAATGCGTTTCATTAATTTCCACTGTTATTTGAAGATACTTATGGAATAGTTGTTTGGTTAATCTGCTGGTACCAGTCCTAGCATAGTAGTATGTCTTTGCAGTTTTTCTGCTATGCATAGAAGGTATGCTTTCTTATCCAGTATATTGCCCCTCTTAATGCTCCATTATTCAGCGGAGCCAAAAAGGGGAAATGAAATGTTCTTTCTTCACTTCCTAGTCCTTGTGTTACATCGTGGTTGTGATAGTTGATCCAAAGCATTTGCTATATATCTTCATATTCGTAATGTAACCAGTTTTCTCTTTCTTTCCCTTTTTCTTTTTTCCCGAGTTATAAAGATTCAAGAAAAAATGGTGCAAGTTGCAAGTCTCTTTGTTTTAAAGCCTAATTAGTTGCTTGCTTTTCCAGGTATGATGATGCCTGGAAAGTGTATGAGATCATGGAAACAAATAGTGTCCAACCAGATCATGTGACATGTTGTATTATGATTACAATTATGAGGAAAAAGGGCAACAGCGCCAAAGAATCATGGGAGTTCTTTGAAAAAATGAACAGGAAGGGTGTCAAATGGAGTTTGGAAGTCCTAGGTGCCCTAATAAAATCCTTCTGTGATGAGGGGCTCAAGAATGAAGCTCTTATTATCCAATCAGAAATGGAGAAGAAAGGGATCTCTTCCAATGCCATCATATATAACACATTAATGGATGCTTATAATAAATCGAACCAGATTGAAGAAGCTGAAGGTCTTTTTGGTGAGATGAAGGCAAAGGGAATTGCACCTACCTCTGCTACTTATAACATTCTAATGGATGCATACGGCAGAAGAATGCAACCTGATATTATTGAGAAACTGCTGCTAGAGATGGAAAGTGTGGGTTTGGAGCCAAATGTTAAGTCATACACATGTCTGATTAGTGCTTATGGGAGGCAGAAGAAGATGAGTGACATGGCTGCAGATGCGTTCTTGAGGATGAAGAAAGTTGGTATAAAACCTACTTCACACTCTTATACAGCTCTTATACATGCATATTCAATCAGTGGCTGGCATGAGAAAGCCTATATGACTTTTGAGAACATGCAAAGGGAACAAATAAGACCCTCCATAGAAACCTATACTGCCTTACTTGATGCGTTTAGACGTGCCGGTGACACACAAACACTAATGAAAATTTGGAAATTGATGATCACTGATAAAATAGAAGGGACCCGAGTGACCTTTAACATTCTTCTAGATGGATTTGCTAAACAAGGACACTACACTGAGGCAAGAGATGTCATTTGTGAATTTGGGAAAATTGGCTTGCAACCAACCGTGATGACATATAATATGTTGATTAATGCATATGCACGGGGAGGGCAAGAATCAAAGTTGCCTCAGCTGCTGAAAGAGATGGCAGCTCTTAATCTAAAACCTGATTCCATAACATATTCCACTATGATATATGCCTATGTTCGTGTTCGTGATTTCAAGAGAGCATTTTTCTACCATAAGCAGATGGTTAAAAGTGGGCAAGCGCCTGATGCCATATCATATCAGAAGCTCAGAGCAATTTTGGATGTAAAAGCAGCAACAAAAAACAGGAAGGATAAGAGTGCTATAATGGGTATAATTAATAGTAGCATGGGTGTGCTAAAACAGAAGAAAAAAGGAAAGAAAGATGAGTTCTGGAAGAATAAGAAGAAGCGGTCAAGAACTCCTAACTCGGCCCGAGATGGGTGCTGATGATGCTATTATTGGAGTGTTCATATGAAATGAGAAGGTCCTGTTACCTGAATAATCACCTAATTTGTTATATCACTGATGTGGATGGTCCATTTTCAAATCTTCTTGATAGTACTTCTCCCCAGAAGATTTCAGATTTTGTGTGATATGAGCCTCTACTTATCACTGAACTTTTCCTTCTATACTGCAAATAAGCACAGAACCATGCTCCATCTTTGATAACGAGAGCCCCTTGAAAACACTGGTTGCAGAAGTGGAATTTTTAACAGTTAATCTGATGACGCTACCAGGTAATTTTTCATACTTCAATTTTATTTAGATATCTCTCTCAATGAAAACTTTTGTTTGTTAAATCCACAAAAGCTACGGATAGGTAGCTTTGTTTATCTTCCATGTTTATTCTTTTGCTTTTGTCATGAAATTCCCCCGATTGCTTTCGTCATTTGACTTTTGCTAAGAGATTGTATTGTTGGGCACATTCTCTAATAGCTTAAACTTTTAAATTACTTGGTAGTCTCAAATGGTATTAGAGCTACAGTTCCTCCGAGTATTATGCTTGTGTGAATCTTAGTACATTTGGCTGTAGGTCTCCTCCATGTATGAGGGGATCACAATTGAGGGCCTGTTAAGGGCTAGATATACACTGTTGGGTATGTTATTTAATAGCTTAAGTATTGGAGTAATTGGTAGCCGGACAACCTTAAAGTTGTCCATTATTTCTGCTGGTGAGGGAAATTTACCTTGCAAAAGGTTGAAGTTTTGATTTTTGAATCACAGCCAGAAATTGTGTCCAATGTGGGCCCTTTTGATTACAAATTTCTATTTATTTTTGTGAATCGATTAAATAAGATGATATATTTATATCTATTTATACGACAATTGCAATCAGTGTCATATTCAAATTAAAAAAAAAAAAACTACACAAGTATGCAGATCTAGGCCACTTATAGACAATCCCAACACAATATAAAACGTAACATGTAATTACATATCAATCATAATTTATATTATTTGAAAATCACTATTGGAACAAAAAATCAAATTAAACTAAGAGAACAATTACGGGTACAAATGTTGAGAGTTGCCAAAAAAAATCATAATTGGTATTGCCTTCGACACACCGGACCTTAAATAAAGGTGAGTCACAACTCGTCATAGTCTTAATAGAGTACCATAGTCCCTCAATTGCATTTTATTCTCTCTCGTTTTCTCTTCAAGTCTCTCGGTTTATCCTTCGATTTTGATAATTACCTGACTAGATGGAAATATGTATATTTGGTGTATTTAGGTCAAAATATTTTATTATTTTGTATCATAATATAATTTTTATACTTATAAAATGATCGTATTTTGGTTGCGTAATGATCTTAATTATAATATAGATCCTATAATTTTCTGTAAAAAATTATAAAATGATCCACAATGTGTCAATAATTTATTTGAACGTATCCGAAGTGTGTTTGCAGCATGGTCATAGTCCTCTAGGTATGGGCCTACGCAAAAGTGAGAGGATGGGTACAATAATATATATTTGAAGAGTAAACATATATATAAATAATATAAATATAAAAAAAAAATTACCAAAATTTGAGGGTGAGACAAGGACCCTCTTGCCCTAGTCGAGATCCGCCAATTGATCCAGATTAAAATGTTGAATTTGTTCATAGTGTATTGGCAATATATTTCCTTGTAACTTGTAACCTACGGGGAAAAAAGATATTTCCTCTTAGGAATAAGCCGAGTGTTACAGATAGGATACTACATTAAATATGAAAGTATTTGAGATTTTTTTATTTCTTGGTTACAGAATTTAATGGCAACAACTTTTGTTTTGATGTAGTGATTATACAGCTTATATCCATTGTCACTTATATTTTTCTTGAAAGTGATATAAGCTAGGCTGGTTCCACCGTGATATTTAGTTGTACTACTCTTCATAAGTTCATGCCAAATAGAAATGGCCAGAGAGTGCAGTTCTTGGCACAATATTTAGCATGGGCATGTGATGGCATATATATTGCATGGTTGGACCATTATAATCGACTTTAGAAGCTGAAGCAAAGATTAAGAATTTTTGGTTCAAATGAAAGTTTGATCAGTAGTTTATTAGGATTAGTTTTATTATTATTTGTTTGATTGTTTAATCTAGGAATTCTAGTTTAAGTGGAGTATCAATGAGAGTTTGATTAGTATATTATTATAAAGTTTTAGTAGGATAGTAATTTGAAAGTTTAATTATGAAAATTCTTTTAGAATTTTAGTGGGAAAATAATTTTTGTTTTGGTAGGAGATTTGACCTATAAATATCGATGTAATCCCTACTATTTTATTAGAAAGTGTGATATTTATAAAATTATTTTTCTATGGAGAATTTGTATGTTTCTTGACTTAATCCTTGCAAGGGTTTGGTATCTTTTCTTCTTTTTTATATCTGATTTTTTCTTCTTCCCTTCCTGCATCAGCATGTCCTTTTAACAAAAACATTTCTAGATTTATGTGGGACCCTCATTTGTAGCTGTTATGGTTGACTATTTTGGTAAAGGAACCTGACTTCAAATGGGCAGTAAACGATTGAGAGTTGGAGGGGGTGGCCATATTACTTGAGTTGTATATAATTGCCCTCAGTGGGGATATGAAAAATAACAGGGACTCGGACCATAATAAATGGTTTTGATCAAAGGTAATGGAAATGCCTTTCCTTAAAGAAGCATCTGGCGCGGGAAAACTCCTTTAGAAGTGCCATATTTTCTTGGATGTGTCAGGGAAGATTTTGAAAGACAACTCAATAGAAGTGATTAGTCTTTAAATTGGTGCCGTATGTTCAGAAGGGTGTAGATGACAATAAAACATCCCCTTCTTCACTGATAGCAGCAGGGAAGGCCTGGGCTTTGTCTTTTTGTAATTGTAGTTGGTTGGATGATGCACTAGTCAGTACTTGAGATGATTGAGGTTGGTAATGTGGCATTGTTAGAAGTAGAAAGCGAGTGGGTCAGGAGGAGATAAACTGTAAAATTTGAGTGCGTGGAGATACCGAATTGTAAATTAAACCAGGTGCATATATCAAAAAAATTTGGAGCATATGTTGTTATACAACATCTTTAGACTCTGGGGGTTTTATAGACATCTTGGATTGGCATGCGTGTCTTTAATAAGTTTGTTGTTAGTCTCTTCAGCATCTAGGGTGAGTATTTTGCCTTTTTACACTTCATTGTGTATGTGGGTTGCACACTTTTCTGTTCTTAATTATTCTTTTTCCTTTTTTTCGGCTTTTTCCAGCGCACAATAGGGTTTGAACCCAAGCTCTATGATAACCCATAACTCACTACTTTGCTAGAACACTTTTTTTTGGGGCAATGAATAATTGTAGTTCCATAGAAAATGAACCTATAAATGTAAATGCCGATGTGTAAACCAAAGCAGATGCATGTCACTTATCCAAAAAAGAAAACTTTGGTCTAGGTCCATTTGGTGGATAAGAAATGTGCTCCGATATCAAAAACTTATTGTTGTTTAATATGCTATTTGTTGGTATGTGATGTCTGTACTTTGAGGCTTGACTTAATGCAAGCCTGAACCCTAAATCTTGTGTTTCACCGCGTGAGGTGCGAATTAGAAGTTGGCTCACCAAATTCTGTCTTACCTATTAGCACATATTCATACATTAACAAAATTGGATTTATATGTGGATTATGAAGCTTTAGATATCGTGAAGCTACCCACAAACCCGCCCACCATACACACCCACAAACACCACAAAGAAACAAACACACAATCACTCGCTACGCCTACTATCCTACCAATAAGCCCAAAAAGTAAAAACAATTCCTGAGTGATATTGAATGGATTTGGGCTGCTTTTTTGCAATCTGGTAGATAAACATAAATGTCGCCTTCTTTTGCTTATGATGAATTTGAATAATTTTGCATTTACCTAATTTTGAATCCATCTTTTCATCTAGAAAAATCAGGTAAAGGAGGCTTTTCCATCCATTGGGACTATGCATGAAGTTTGTGCTTCTGATTTTGCAATGCCTTGAATGTAGTTGGATTTGGCAACGACCCACAGAAAGGACTGAAACACAATGCCTTGCATTAAACCTCACTTTTGTACTTCTTGCCTTGCCCCCAAAAGACTGTTTGTGTGAAAATGCTTCATCGAGTTCCGAACCATTCTCGGGGCAAGTAGCAGCTGACATATACATGTGTCAATGCTGTTTTCACAAAGTAGTCATGAATAAACAATTTGCTAGAGTTCATTAAGCATTCGTTTGAACAGTGGTCACGGTCATTTTGCCATTCTTAGTCTTACAAGAACAGGAAATCTAACACAGAAGCCTGTATTGTTAATGTTCCGAATGTAGAAATTTCTGCTATTTGCGCTTTTCTTCTATTATAACTGTTGTGCTCTGGGAAAAGGATTTCCCTTCCTTTTTTGTTGCGAATGATTTTGTTTAGTGAAACTTAAACATCTTGAGAAGCTCTGTAGCTAAGTCCCAGAGAGCTTTCCATATTATCTAATTTGATTTGACAATATCATCATTTGAATTGGGATCACGTCTTGGAATGTTTATTCAGTATGCCATTTTTTTAGCCTTACCCTGATTCCACAGATTTTGAGAAAGGGCAAACATAGAACTTTTATATCAAAACAGGGGCTCTGTACTCCAATACATTGTGAGATTTCAAGTTCTTTCAATATCCCCTCAACCATCAGTAGCACTATGGAAAGTTGCCAATCATTTTGAGGTAGTATGTGACATTCTTTCCCTCATATAGTTATACCTCAGGAAGCTGAGAACCAAGCTGAAGAGGAATTTTGTGCAAGAAATGGATGTGTATGTGTGTGTTTACTTGTAGCCTCTACTGGAAAGCTTGGGTTTCAAGTTCTGCTTCTAAACCCAAGCTTTCAAGTAGAAGCTGCAAGTAAAGAAGTACTTCCAAACTAAATTGAAGGTTTGGATTATTTTGGTATCAAAAACATGGTGGTTTGGTTCTCTTTTG